ATAATCAATCTGCTTATGATATAGCATTTATTGGACTTTATGAAAATAATGAAGAAGAGGTCATGAAAGCAACATTAATATTAAGAGGATTGGAAATGAATAATAATAATTTAGTAATAATCTTTATAATATTTCAAAATAATGAAGAAAATGAATTAGCAAAAAAATTAATTAGAAAAGTTGGTGGAACAGCTACTGTTCTTCACACTCCAATTACACGGAAAAAGTTAATTAATTTATTTATGCATTTGGAAAGCAGTTCCTCTGCTACTAATAAAAATGATAAGAACCTCCATGTTAATGAGAATATTTTGATGGGAGTAGCGGATAAGTTTTATAAGTCTGAAGTTGCATATCAAGATTTATATGAAGGCATAACAAAAAGTGATTCTAAGATGAACAAGTGTATTTTATGTGTGGTATTTTCTCGTTCCTTTTTATTTTTGTTAAAACGCATACCTTTTAATATGATAATTTAAATATGTTTAATATAATTTTTAATCTGTGCTGATTAACATTTATCGTTATTTATAGGACGATAATTCTATTAGTCTCGAGGTAATTTATAAATTCAAAAATGTCGATTCACATTCTTTTTATCAATTTTCAAATTCTTTATCATATTTAGAACACATTACAACAAGTTTCAAAACTTGGTTATTCAACAATTTCTGCAACTAATGGTCTAGAAGCAGTCACATTGATTGATTCGAAATCCTCGAGTTCATTCTTTTCAGATGTAGATCAGATAAAGCCTAATAAAGTTTCATTAATTTTAACAGAATATAATTTAGTAAGTTTATTTTTTCTAAATTCGTTATTTATATTTATCATGATAAAATATTCACAATTCATTAATTGTTATACTTAGCCAATAATGGCAGGATTTAACGTTTCACAAGCAATTAGGGCAATGAAACCACCAATTTCAAGTATACCAATCATTGTTCTAACGGCTTTACCGGTAGATGAGATACGAAATAAATGTATCGAGTCAGGAATAAATGATTATCTTGCAAAGCCTTTGAAAACTGAAGAACTTGAAAAGGTTCTAACTAAATGGATTGGTAAAAATTAGAATTAATTATGATTAAAACCAATTATAAATTTATAATATTTTTACTGAATATTTTTTAAGCTTCAATTTTTATCAACAATTTGCTTCACAATATGAAATATGTTTTTATACTTGATGTTTTGTGTAATTATATGGTTTAGTTATATGTATTTGATCTATTTTCAATTACTTTTTATGCATTTTTTCTGTTATAGTTTATATGATTAATTATCTTTATCTTTCATAATTATATTTCTTGTTTTCTCTAAAAATTATTACTTTTATTTTTATATAATGATACAACGTACATACGTAGAGTATTGTTTACTGGTAAGTGAAATTATGTGTTTAATTCGTAACTGATTGGATAATGCATTATTGTGATCGCTGAATTGTATACTATATGCTTAAAGTCTATTTTATGAAGCAATAATAAAGTAAAATGCATGTTACATGAGTAGAGAACAATTATTCTACAATGTAGTTCCGAATTTTTCGCAATAAATTTCTATTATTATATTTCTTTGTGTAATACCTTTAGCAGTAACGGCGATTACTATATAACTACATAATGACTTTCTTATTAATTTGAGGTACTATCATTGATCGGTAATAGAGAATAGATCCCTTTTAGTTTTTTTGATAGTTCTTTTCCACTATTATATCATACCCTCTAATTATATAACTAAGGTTGACCAATGAGATTTGATCAAATATTCTTGGGAATATATGTGCTTGTGTAAATTTCTCCCTGGGCCCAAAATTTTGACGCTAACAAAATAATTGTCGTGGCTAAAGCTGAAACGGCTGAAGTGGAAATTTTAAATACTTTAATATGAAATGTTCAAAATTTTTGGTGTGCATTTTTTTAGCTTTTTTTTTTAATAGTTAGCTTAGGATTTAATGATAATAAAAATGTATAGGTGGATTTTAGTAGGGTTTATATTTTCAAATCGAGTTTCTTAATTTCCAGCTTTAGCCACGATAGTAATTAACCTTGAATGGCCTTAATTTACAGACAAGCTTATTTTACCGACCAACAGCTCTTTCATCTACAAAGTAATTCTGGTTATTGTTGTTAAGGTCGGCGGTGTTGGCGATTAGGCGAATTTGGACATAAAATTTGATATGTACATCTATGTTTATGTCAAACGAAATTTTATTGAATATGAGTGAAATAGGATGGTGCAAAAATTTGGCGGTCCTGTGGCTAATTAAAAAACAATTATGTCTTAATTTTCGTCTAAAAATTAATGTTTGCATTAATATAAAATAGAAAGAATATATCTAAATTTTTGCGTTAAAAACTTTTATTTAATAACAAAAGCTAATTTTCCTTGTGAATTTATGAGTTTTTGTGCTTTCTTTTTTTTGCCTTTTTGCATTTGTATGTAACAGAATCAACCAGGGTCACCCCTCAAAGTTTGAGTTGGTTGCTACCGAAGCACCTCGGTATTTTTTTTTTCATTCAAAATATGCTAAAATATTAACATTGCTCAAAATTTACTGTAGGGTGTCATAATACCCTACTGTTGCAAAGTTCGGACAATGTTAATATTTTAACATATTTTTAACACAAAAAAATACCGAGGTGCTGCGATAATCGACCCGAACTTTAAGGGCGACCTGGCTGATTATATGTTACACATTGATCTTAAAATTGGATTTGATTAAAATCATGGTACGATCAAATTTTGCTATCATTATTTCATTTATTGAATATCCCTTAAAGTAAATAAAATGAATTTTTTTTCGTTATTGGCTAATTATATATCGGTAATGATCACCACCGGTTATAGTTAGTAATATTTTTTTTAAAAAATCTAATATTAATAAATTTTATAATTTTTAATTAAAAATAAGAAGAAAAATTCTTTTTAATTGTTTTGTAAATGTACTATTATTTAAAATAAATAAAATACTCTAAAAGCTTGATTTACAGATAAATTTTGAATTTTATTAATTAATTTATTTTCTTTTACTCATTTTTTTTATTAATATCACATATCTTGATTTGTTTAATTGTCACAATAAATTTACTATTATTTAAGTTAATAAAATCTTTGATAAATTTCTTAATAGATTAATAATAACTATGAATATTATTTAAAGTTATGCTTTTAAAAAATGTTTACTTTGGTGTATTTTTTAAATATTTTTGTTAATTTTTAATTTGTGTCATTTTTAAGTAATCTAAAAAAAAAATTTATTTAATATTTTGATTATATACTATTGTATTATTTGTTATTAGTATTATATCACTCAAATATCAATTAATAGTTCTAATTCCTTTATTTAAAGTATTATCTCTTAAAAGGATTTGCAGGCAAATTTGTCTATATTTTGAAAAAAAATTAATTTTTTAAATAAAATTAAGTATTAATGATTTAAAATTTTTTGCTTTATAAAATATTATTTAAAATATATTTAATTAACTTTATTATAAAATTTTTTTAAATTATTAAAAATTTTTTAATTTATGTAACTTTAAGATTTACTATTAAAAATTTTTAAGTTTTTTAAAATTTTATAAATTTCTAATGCTAGAAAAATTTTTACTTCTAAGATAAATATTAATTTTTACAAGTAAATTACAAAACTTATAATAATAAAAATTGTTATTCTTTATATAAACTAAAAAATTGTATTAAGAATAACAAGTTTAAAATTAATATTTAAAAAATTCATTAAGTTTTAAAATATTTTTTTATTAAAATTTTTTATTAAATTGTATATTTTAGTTATATAACTAGTTACAATTTTTTTCTTATAATTTAAGTATAAATATTACAAAGAGTACATTTATTCACTGCACCCAGCGGTGTCACTAATTTATCGCCTCCCACATGATTAACCAATCAAATTTTAGAATCAGGTATAACATAGCACAAGTAGAAAAATTCAAAACAAATGTTTGCTTTGTCAAAAAACGTTTATAACACAAAATTTCATATATGAAGCTACTCTTCGTATTCTAACAAAAAATTTTCTCACAAAATTTTACTATAGGCTTCTTTTCAAGCCCATAAACTACCCTTACCTCACCCTAACTAATGAAAAAATGGGTTATTTTTGGTTGTTTTGATTTCACGTTACATATGATTTTATGATCTGCAGAGATGCGGCAACGTCGCATATGCGGTGTATAAATTGTCTCTATTACAAAAATTATTTTAAATATTTAAAAAAAGGAATTATATACATGTACCCAAAGGTACATAAACCCACATTATGTGATCTATATAGATCCTTACCAAAAGTCAAATCAGGTGTAATGTTACATTATCAGGAAATTCAAAACAAATGTTCGTTTTGACAAAAATTGCTTATTTCACAAGAAATTGCATATTAAACCATCTTCTGTGCA